TCAGATGGTCATCATAACAACACTTTTCATGTACAAAAATATTTCCTAAAGATTTAGATCTAAATTTTTCATACATTTTTGAAAATACTTAATTTTAACATACAAATTTATTAGATTCTATATCATTAGAAAAAAAAAATAGTAATCTGGTAATTTGTTTATTAAAAACTGTAGCCTATTGTCATTTATTTGGCAAAACTGGTCAGCACATTCCACAATCCTCGGTCAGAATTTGACCATTTGAATAATTAACAACTAATTATAATTAATAAAAAAATAAAATAAAATAATGATAATAATAATAGTAATGTAGAGCCCCACAATTTCTCTAGCCTCTTTTGTAAAAAAAACTGTAGCGAAAGATGACTTCACTTATACAGACTGTATATTTTCTTGCACAGCTGGATGTTAAACTATTATTTTTCATTAGCCAAGACTGATTAGCTGAAATCCCACTGAATTGACAGCATACAGAGGATGCCGCCCTGTCTTAAAGCCTTTTTTCGATGGATTATTTTTTTATGGTATAGCAGTCAAAATAAGACAAATTTGCACATGTAAGGAAAATTCTGGACCTTTGTCAGTTAGGGGAGGGTCTTTTAAACCCCCTAACCCCCCCTTGGCTACCGTGTGTCATATTACAAAATATGTAAATATTCAAGCTTTAGTGTTAATGATATTAGAGTACATTTTTGTTACCCATGCATGCTTGAGAGAATACCAGGGAGTACAATTTGCCCATATTTTAAAGACAATAGATGTATGCAGAAATACCCCTCTTAACAAAACAATAACATTGTTTAAAATCAAAGCAAAATATTACATGCATTTGACCTACTTTTAAAAAGCCACTTTCCCTGCTTTTGGATAAGCAGAAGTTGAGAGTGGTATATATGGAATTACATACCATTTTGTATCATTTTCCATTTTCAAATTGCTCAAGTTCCTGTTAAAGATGTTAGAAACGTATGTTCTTACTACAGAGGAAATAAAACCCTCGGTGACAAAGTGGAAAAGGTATAAAACGTGGCATTTAGCATGCAATACGTGACACTGCTCATTATAAAGAACATGTAAATGCCCTTTTAACAATTCAAAAGTGAAGTAAAAGTATGTAAAAGACAAAGACTGGGGAACAAAGCAAAAGGTCAGAGTCTTAGTAGGGTCATAAGAGGAGTTAGATACATTTCAAACCACATATGAAAGAGGAAACATGGTTACAGCCGTTTGAAAACGCATACAGGCATTAGTTGATCTTGTCTTGGTATCGCAACTTATTAAAATTTATAATGCATGTACAGCATTTATTGTGCATGTATTTCCCTTTCCGCATTAGTAAAGTCATCGTGAATTTTCTTTTTAATGAAGAACAAACATGCATATCAAGCATAAGATAAAGCCACTTTTTTATCACTTCTGTGGTCAGTGGCTGTATAATAATTAAGGATTCCCTGAAAATGGCATCAGTGTGACGCCCATTCAAAGAGGAACTATTGCAAATAAAATGGAAAAGGAATATTTCAAATGTTTAAATGTTTAGGCTTCTAATACTTAGACGGTCTGAAATGGGTAAAAGCATTCTAAACAAATAACAAAAACGTAACAGTCCGATCTCACAGGGGAAAGTAACTATTTATCATCAGAAAATTTGTACAAATTCATAATTCAAATTCATTTCATTTATAGCAATGAAAACATATATGATTTTCAAAAGGAGCCATTTCCCAGAACCCCACCATCATTGGGAGATGAGCAAATCTTACTAAAATGGACAAATAAGACTGCAAATAAGCCACTAAATCAAAAATACTAAATCAAAATTTAATTTATTATTTTCCACAAAATTCTACAAATAATACCCCATAACAACAATGTGACAGTAAATAGTTTGATACATTTGCAAATTTACCCATTTCAGATATTCACAGCATTTAAATCAACAGGGCATTTAAATTAAGTTTATGTGCACCTGTTTGCACTGATCATCCTTGTAAAGTTACTACAGACTTACTGGAGTCCATTCATTCATTCATTCATTTTCTTTTCGGCTTAGTCCCTTTATTAATCAGGGGTGGAATGAACCACCAACGTATGCAGCAAATGTACACAGCAGATGCCCTTCCAGTCGCAACCCAACACCAGGAAACACCTATACACTCTTACATTCACACTCATACACTACAGCCAAGTTAGCTCATTCAATTCACCTATAGAGCATGTTTTTGGACTGTGGGGGAAACTAAAGCACCCGGAGGAAACCCACGCGAATGCAGGGAGAACATGCAAACTCCACACAGGAATGCCAACTAACCCAGCCAGGGCTCAAACCAGTGACCTTCTTGCTGTCAGGCGATCATGCTACCCACTGTGCTGCCCTTTACTGGAGTCCATCTGTGTTAAGTTCAGTTGAATGGGCATGACTGTAAAGGCACACAACTGTCTAAATTCAATCCCACTGTGCAGTTAGAGCACAAACCAAGCCAAGAACTCTAAAATATTGTCTGTAGACCTATGAGAGAGGTTTGTATTGAGGAACACATCTGGGGAAGGGCACAGACACATTTCAACAGCATTGAAGGCTCCAGAATGGCCTCCATCATCCGTAAATAATAAAAAGTTTGAAATGACCAGGATACTTCTAGAGCAGGCCTCCTGGCCAAATTGAGCAACTGGGGAAAAAGAGCCCTGGTGCTTATAGTCACTCTGAAAGAGCTTCAGCGTTTCTTTGTGGAGAAAGAAAAACCTTGCAGAAGAACAATCATTGACCAATCAGGCTTGTATGGCAGAGTGAAACCACTTCTCAGTAAAAGGCATGTGACAGCCCGTCTGGTGTTTACCAAAAGGCACCTGAAGTACACTCATTGAACTCTTAGTTTGGAGGAAACTAGGCACCACACATTACCTGAACAATACCATCCCTAAAGTGAAGCATGGTGTTGCAGAATCAGCTGTAGGAATGTTTTTAAAAAGCAGGAACTGGGAGACTAGTCAGTATTGAGGAAAAGATAAATGTACAGAGACATCTTTGATGAAAACCTGCAACAGTTCATCTTTCAACAGGACACCAACCCTAAACACACAGCCAAAATTACAAAGGAGTGTTTACGAGACTGTTACAACCCTGGTCTAGGGTCTGTAAATGTCCCAAAAGTGGCCCAGCCAGAGCCCAGACTTGAGTCTGATTGAACAGAGAAATCTGAGAATGGATGTGCACTGATGCTCGACGTGAGAAATATCTAACAGAGCAATAAAGAAAAGGTTCCAACAACATCTGTCACGTGACTTTTTATACATATAACCAGGGCTTGACATTAACATCCACCAACCCATTAACCAATGCGGGTAGATTTTAGCTTTGGCGGGTTAGACAGTCACTCCTACTAGCCATTTTGGCTGCTTAAAAATAATTTTTAAATTGTGCTTTTCTTAAAAGCAGGATTTAACTATAAAGATGACCCTATATGCGTGCAAACTTGATATTAGATTCGAGAAACAGCCCGACTAACAAAAATAATTGTGTTCGCGTGAGCAAATGACTCTCTGTGGTCGTTAAAAATACCAGGATGTCCTTCGAAAAAGAGTAGGGGTTTACCCTCGGCATCCTGGCCAAATTTGCCCCCTGGCCTTTGTCCATCATGGCCTCCTAACCCTCCGCATATCATAATTGGCTCCATCACTCTTTCTCCTTTCCACCAACCAGCTGGTGTGTGGTGTGCGGTCTGGGGCAATATGGGTGCTTTCGAGAGTAATCCAGGTGGATGTTGCACACTGGTGTTGGATGAGGAGATTCCCCCCCCCCCTTGTGTAAATAGTTAGAGTGCCCAGAAAAGCGCAATATAAATGTAAGGAATTGTTATTATTATTATTATTAAAAGAAAGCAGGTGAATGTTGAATGAGAGGATGATAACTCACGCTAATAGCTAATGTAATGCGCGCAACTGTTGTGCCGCTCCTGTTTCCTTGCATGAAGCAACCGTGGAAGGCAACTTGGATCGGTTCTCTTTCAAACAAACTAGACAAAAAGTTATGCTACTTCACCCACAGTCTTGCTGCTTTCAAGTGCTCCAAATTTGTCTTTTTGTAAGAAGCATCGGTTTTGCTTTGAACAGATTATTAATTGGCCTTAACCGTGTGCATGAGATCATCCTTTCATTATCACACACAGTTTGTTTTTCACCTACTTTCCTTTGCTTAGAATTATTTTTGTTAATATGGTTTCATTTTCTTTCTTTTTTTTTACAATATTGCTTTAATATGAGATTAACTCTCCATTTATGTGTAGTTAACTGGTCATCTGAGAGATCTTAAGCCAGGACAGATTACTGTGCATATTTTTGAAACATGACAATAATTATTATTATTTTTTAAGTCAATTGTTTTTCTTTGTTTTGACACATTTAAAATTTGTGGCCAATAAATAATTATTGTTTGATGTGGTCAGAGATTAATTTGGTAAATCCTTAATTTTGAGTTCTGAAAAGTGATGTGTAATAAAAATTAATAGCAATAAAACACTATGAAACCATAACCCATTTGCTCATACATGACACACAAAAAGTGAAATGAATGAGGAGGCATAGCTGGATTTTTCCATTATTTGATCATTTAAAGCATAGATCTCAAACTGGACACCTGGAGAGCCGCAGCTCTGCACAGATTTGCTCCAACTCTAATCAAACACAGCTGATCTAAATAATCAAGGTGTTCTAGATTAATAGAGACTATTAAGCAGGTGTGAGATGGAGCTGGTTAAGGCTAAACTATGCAGAGCTGCGACCCTCCAGGAATTGAGTTTGAGATCATTGATTTAAAGCAACATTTGATTTAGTATTCAAGCACTTTTAAATACAAAACACATCTGATTATTTTTTTTAGTCCAGTAAAATACAAATGACAAAGTACGTACAATTATGGTCTACTACGTACAAAAGAGGAAATTCCATGACGTGCCAAAAGCAGAAGTGGCATGGTTTAAAGGTGTCAGAGCCGAACCACAATAATGCCTTTTAACATGCTCACCTTGACCGGTCATCAATGCCTGGACATCGTTTTTGCGATTTCCCTTCTGTGTTGGGCAGAATGTAAGTTTACCAGCTTGTCACTTGCACTGAATTTTGATTTTGAAAGATGGTAATAGATGCAAAACTTTTAAATTTGAATCGATGCAATACAATACAATTTTATACAATTTAAAACAAATTTTACGCTTATTTAGCTTCAAATCAAGCTTTTTTGCTTATAGCCTGCATGCTTTTAAAATGTTTACAAACCATAATGCTTTTTAAAGTATAATTTATATTAGAAAATGCTCTTTAAATATTGTTCACTGAGGAGAAATGCTCTGAAAGATTCTTTGGAAAAACTTCAATGGCACTGCTGCAAAAACCCTTATTTAGAAGAGCTTAAACAACAAACCATCTGCTGTATTTCAATGAAAAGCTGCATTTCTTCTCTCTTCCAGGTAGCCCCACTCAGCAGGAAGAAATGGCTCCAACCGAAGTACAGTTTCAATCTTTGGACTTCCGAAATGTCTTACATTGGAAACATCAGCACAAAGCTTCCAAAAACTTGAAATATTTTGTTCAGCATAAAATGTAAGCCTGCGTCTCTCAACCCTACGCGATGAGAAATGACTTGATGAATTCTCAAAATGTTCATGCATATCCCTCACCTTCATTTTAGACATGGAGACAAAGAGTGGAGCAATTCCAAACATTGTCAGGGCATCCGGACGCTACAGTGTGACCTGACGCAGGAGACATCGGACCCCAGAGAATGGTACTACGCCAGGGTCCGCTCGCTCTCCCCTGAGGGCTTCTCTTCATGGGCCATCAGCCACAGGTTCTACCCTCAGTGGGAAAGTGAGTTCCTTTAGAAACGCTTATAATTGTGTAACACTTGTTAGTTCATTTGCACAATGTAAATAAGTATAAAGCATAACAAATATTAGTCTTCACAATTACAATATGAAAATTTACTTTCAAAAGTGACATTGCTGAATGCCTGTTAACATTAAAAATGTGCAGGTTTTATTAATTAATATTCGATTACTAAATGTAGACACACTGCTGTTAGTTAATGCATCAACAAGCAGTGAGAGGTGTGCAATATTTATAGTATATAATACTGTATTTGTTGATTAAATAATTTCTTACATTCAACAAAAACAGATCGTTTGAGTTAAAGAGATGATTCAGCCAAAAATTAAACTTCTACTATAATTTACTTACTTTCCATAATCTTGTTTGAGTTTCTTTCCTCTAAAGAATGTTGCAAAAAAACAGATATTGACTTTTTGTTTTTGTTGTTTCGATTATGGATGTCAATGGCTGTTTTTTCCCAACATTCTTCAGATTATCTTGTTTTGTGTTCAACAAAAGAATGCACACTCTTCTCTCTACAGTATATGCACCTCACACTTTCTCAAACTCCATGTTACGTGGACGTAATAATAAAAACAATTGTTTACTTGAGAATGCACTACAAAGCATACACATTACTTGCTTTTACTTGCTTAAATAAACCTTTTGCACAATATCTTGCTTAGTATTACACACTTGTATAGTCTGTCGTACAGTAGGTTTTGTGCATAGTCAGCTAACTATAGTATATAGATAACTGGATTACCACTCCAGTAAGTTTAGGTAATAATAAATGGCTTTTGTGTCCAGTTTTGCCTTCATATTTATGTTTATGTTAATTTATGTAGCACTGTGGTTGTGCGAGACATTGCATTTCATTCCACTGTATGTCCACACATGTAGCATAATGACAATAACGCTTAACTTGAACTTTATCAAAGTTTAGAAATACTTCAGTGAGTAACTGATGAAACTTAGTCATTGCTAGTTGTATTACTTAAAAAAACAATTACAAAATCTATTTACTAATATATATATAATTACTGAAACATACTAAATATTTAAATATTTTTTTAAGTTTATAAGTTTAATACTTTGTTGTTGCAAATTATATGATCATCATTAGTTTTCTTAATAGCAGACGTATATAATATAACAACATAATATTAAAAGAAATGTATTGAATATCAGCAAAGATAAGATATAATAAGAAATTATAGATTAACTATCATGTATCAAACATGCATATATAAATATAGTTCCTTATGTATTTAATCATTTTTATTACATTTATATTTAGCTTCTCTAGGCAGCTTTTAATATAATATAATATAATATAATATAATATAATATAATATAATATAATATAATATAATATAATATAATATAATATAATATAATGGCTTAGTCCCTTTATTAATCTGGGGTCGCCATAGCGCTCCGGTTTACCCCACAGTCCAAAGACAGGTGAATTGGGTGCTGCTTTCATTCTACCGAATAACTTGTTTTGTCTTCACCGAAAGAAAGCAATCTTCTTTCTTTATGTACCAGACACTTTCTTAAACTCCATGTATAAGAACTTAAAATAAGAATAAAAACAATTGTTTACTTGGAACACACCACAATTTATATGCACTACTTGCTTTTTAACCTTAAATACCTCTTTTACACAATATCATGCTCAATATTGTGCAGTATTAGATATATTGCTTGTATATTCTATCTTAGGGTATGTGTATTTTCAACTAATTATCTAATTATATGAATAGTATTATGGATTGACACTCCAGTAAGTTAGCTATGTATAGGTATTAAAAATGGCTCTCACCTCCAGTTTTGCCTTCATATTTATGTTTATTTATGTAGCACTGTGGTTGTGTGAGACATGGCATTTCATTTCACTGTATGTTCACAAATGTAGCAGAATGACAATAATGCTCAACTTCTTAAAAGTTTGGAAATACTTCAGTGAGTAACTGATGAAGAAATGCTCATTTTTGGATGAAGTATCCCTTTAATGATTCAACGAATCATTCAATAAACAGATAGTTCACCCAAAAGGGAAAATTCTTTCATAATTTAATCACCCTTTACTTTTTTCTTCTGTTGAACACAAAAAAGATCATTTGAAACATGTTGGAAACCTGTAACCATTGACTTCCATCGTTTTTTTCCACTATGGCAGTCAGTGGGTACAGTTTTTCAGCTTTCTTCTAAATATATTTTTTTCTCATAAATGTTTGAAACCACTTGGGGGTGAGTATAGCACAAGTAAGATTTTATTTTTGCTATCCTTGCAAGAGTCTGACAACTCAAATCTATTTATTCACAACAGGCCTAAACTAGTCAATACGCCAATACAACAAAAACTAAGAACACTTTCTGTCAGTATTGCACAATCCTAAATATGTTCATGCCTTACACTAAATCTGTTTTACAATGCTGATTATAATCTGTTGCTAAAAGATTTGTTGACATAAACAAATTATCTTCTATAATGTACCATATTTGGATTTATTCTGGTGCCAGTCAAAGAGGAAGATTGCACAGTGCACTTTGTGATGGCATAACATTTAAACATGATTTTTTTTTCCTGTGGAACTTATCACCACATAACTTCCTCTGAATTACAGCCAACTTCAGCCCACCGCAGATAAAGGTTACTGTGGCAGGAGGACAGACCATTAAAGTTCAGATCAAACCTCCGAGAACTCCACTGAGAGGACACAACGGCAACAGGATACGAGTGACAAAACTGCACAAACTCACCTTCAGAATATTTCTGATGCACAATGACGTAGAAGAGGTAAGAAATAATACACAAGCACAAACAAAGATATATTATGAAAGGTTTTAATTCAGTAAACAAACACGTTTATAAATGACGCAGCCTATTTTTAGCAGTTGTTTTGCTCTCTACATTTGCATAAAGGCCAGAGTCGATGTAAGAAGAGTTTCTGGATTGCCGCTTGGCCAATCAGATTTAAGCGCCAAAACTAATGATTAAATATTACCTTTATAAAGATAGGGCGACGCGGTGTCTCAGTGGTTAGCACTGTCACCTAACAGCAAGAAGGATGCTACTTGGAGCTCCGGCTGGATCAGTTAGTGTTTCTGTGTGGAGTTTGCTTGTTCTCCCTGTGTTTGTGTGGGTTTCCTCTGGGTGCTCCGGTTTCCCCACACAGTCCAAAGAAATGCACTATAGGTGAACTAAATAAGTTAAACTGGCCATAGTGTGTCTGTGAATGCAAGTGTGTATGGGTGTTTACCAGTACTGGGTTGCAGCTGAAAGGGCATCTGCTGTGTAAAACATTTATAAGTTAGTGGTTTATTTTGCTGTGGTGACCCCCGATTAATAAAGAACTAAGCTGAAGGAGAATGAATGAATTTAAAAAGATACTATGCTGCTGTTAGTATTGACTTACCCTCAGGTTATTTAAAAACTCTTTCTTATGTGGAAGATATTAAATATTTTAAGTGTCTTTCTTTCAAAGTAAGTAAGTAAGTAAGTTTTGGTAAAGCCAAAATTAAGGAAAATGCCCCTCTTTTGAGCAGCACTGGTTCAATCAAGATACATTTTCACATTTAATTTTATTAAAGATTTAATGTAGTATCATGAGCCATAAAATTAACCAATCAGCGACAACATCAGGAACTTAGATTTGAAGTAATGTCCAAACCCTCTAAAAACTACAGATAGTAGTAATAACAATTTTATTGCATCTAAAAAACTTAACATGTATTTTGAGAGCTTATAAGGGGAACGATTCAGTTATGTAATTTGCTATAATATGTCTTTGCTGTTCTTTGGTAAAATCTGTGCACAGTATCATGGGTAATGTAGTTTTTCAGCACAAATTCCACTTTAAAGATGCGTTTTTTGATTGTTTTTAAATAAATTGTTCTTACACTATATATTTTCTGATTTTCATAGTATATCTATTAATCTTGGTACTTTCACTATAAACTGACATTGTGTTCAGCATAATTGAGTACACCCCATTTATGAGTATTAATGAGTATTTTTATTCATTTCTCAGTGAATATAGGCAATTTATTTTGGTGCATTTAAACAAAACAGATTTATTAAACGGATATATTTATTAAAATAATATTTTAGTCACCAAACATATTTAGAAATTGAAAGATAATACATTTAAATTCAAGAAAAAATATTGCAAAAACGTACAAAGTTTCAACTATTTTTTTATTTGTTTGCTTTTCTTGATTTTTCCCCTTTTAATTTTGTATTGAATATTTTTCCATAACTTATTTTATAAAATTACAACTTATTTTGTGAGTTAAGCTCCAGATTTGGCCTCAGTACCGACTAATCTAATGCATGTGTACAAATATATTATTGTAGAGCTTTCTATTAAAAATATGAATTTAAAAGATTTGTAAGGGGTTATTACTTATATATGCTGAGCACTAAATAAACCATTTTAAGAGGTTGATATTTTAAAAATGATGGGATGTGTTGACAAAAAATAAATAAATTGAGTGTGTTAACTAGCGACATTAAGAGTTAAGAAAATACTTTTTTGTTTTGTTCTTGGTGGGGCAGTTAAACGGTTGATAAATGCGGACAATAAAAAACAAAAGCATATAAACTTGGAGCTTACAACAGGTCTGTCACCAAAGTTATTTTTCTAGTTAAAAATTGATGTCCTTATTAAGAAAATGAATAGAAGTTTTTTGTTTTTACTTCTGCAAACCAACTGTTGTTCTGTATGGAAGTGCATGATCATCAAAATGCGTTAGCTGCCATCAGTATTCAAAATATCTATTTAAAACCATTCTATGCTTCACAGACACGACTCATACAGCTTTACCGTTCAAACTTAAAAAAGAGAGCAAATGATTGGGTTTTTCTAATAGTTCATTTGCTGCATTTTAAACTTTAACAACTTATCTGCATAGGAAGCTGTGCGGATAAAGAAGGTTGAAGATATTTTAGCTTAATTTAGTCAATGTTTTATAAATGACTCCAAACATCTGAACTTCTAAACTTCACTAAAACAATCTTTCCCAAACAGGAAGTTCATGAAACAGACAGTTGCTCCAAGGAACTTGTAATTGAGGGTCTCCGTCGGAAAACCACCTACTGCCTTCAGGCTCTGTCTGTTACTCCTCGCTCGGGCCGCATAAGCTCGCGGAGTCCCAGGACCTGCATCACCACTCACTGAGGGTTTATAGTGGCTCCCACAGGTAAGCGTTACGTAACACATGATATGGTTTCTTTAGTTAAGGGGAACACCTGAGATCAGTGATGGTGTCCATGACAAGTTTCCACCTTTGTGCTTTCTCCAAAGCTGCCTTCTGGGCATTGATGCTTGGTAGACAAAAAGTAGACAAAGTGAGCACAGACACGCTACTTGTCATTTGAGATGGAGATTGCACCCTTGAGACGCACTCAGATCAAGTTCCTACAGCCTTAGAATAAATTACGATTGTCTTCTTTGCTAAGAGTTTCACTCCTGAGAATTTTTTTCTTGACTTGTAGGTTTTAGAGGATTCCTGTTATTTCAATTCTAACACTTCTGTTTTATTTTTCCTACAGGGTAAGGTTGCCTCAGGACCTCTGTTTGACTGAAAATGACTCTACGCACACACACTACCTTAAAGAATGTCTGAAAATGTTCACTAACGTCATGTTTACTACAAACCTGGCCTTGCCTTTGGGTTACATTTAAAGCTGAAGTGTGTAATTTCTAGGCCATAAAAGGGAATGGCAAAAATAATGAGTGTTTACACACTGATTTCCTTTCAGTGGTTGGACAAACTCAGCTCACACCACTGGTTTGAGCCAATAGTAGTGTGCAAAGAGTCAAAGGAATTTCAAAAGAATGCTGTAGGAAATCAATGAATGACTTGTTTGTCTTATTTAGTATCAAATTAGGCTAATTAATGTAAAAATAAAAACACGTTTCAGGCTAATGACTGGTTAAAAACAGTATGAACTAATAGTCATTTAGAAACTGAACACCAGTCAGTAGTTAAACAATACAATGCACAATATTCACTCTTCAAAATACATAGAAACATACACTAGATATCGCAGACAGACTCTGAGCAATAGTGCCGCCACATTTGTACAGTGCTCCCAGGACAAATGTCATTCAAGCGCACTAGTCAACCGCAAAGCCAATGTGAAAATGCTGGACTGCCTACGAGTGTAGTAACAAGCAAACAAAGCATGAAGGCAGAACATTTCATAGGTAATATTTCTTTATTAAAGTTTTTGTATGTTACGAAACAAGTCACCTTATTGATGATAATACAGCCTCTTACTGCACTGACCATAAGGCAAAGTAGCACCAACTCACACTAAATACAAGGCTTATACTAGTTTTGGTGAATAGAATAAGCAAACAATGTAAATTAAATATGAAAACAAGATGCTGATGCCAGAAACTTGTAATATTTTTGGCTAATTGAACGAGTCGTTCATAACTGCACCTTGGTCTCACATTCATTTCAAAGGAGTGCTACCCTGTACTAAAATGGCGGCTCTATTGACGCATTCCTTCCAATAGGCAACAAAAGCGTAGGCGACATCTAATGTAAATATCTATGTTCAAAATACATATTTATTTTTTGCAGCGACCAAACGATCATTATTAAAGGAACAGTTTTTTCATAATGTTATGTTAAGAATGTGATCAATAACCAAAAACATTTGTAGAATACAAAGGTTTTTGGTTAACAGAACCATCACTGTCATTTAAGGACCTTTATTTTAAGAGTGTTAGCCTGCAACCTATAAAGAATAAAAGAAAAACAAAGAAAAACTGAAACTGATCTTTGTTCAATGTGAAAATTACGCACATACACACTGCCCAGTGAAATGTCGGCAATTTTCACAAAGGCCAGGCTTACTGCAAGGTTAGAGTGTAATGTATTTTCAGCATAAAAGGGAAAAGCAAAAATAATGACTGTTTGCACATGGGTTCAGTGGTTGGACAAACAGTGTCATCTGAAACTCACACCACTGGTTTGAGCCAATAGTATTGTAGATATTCTCAGGCGTCTCAACAAATGTTTTACTTTAAGTTATTTATTAGTGAGTTAGGCTATAGAAGAAAGTATTTTATCAAACACAATCATACACACTTCAGCTTTAAGGCTAATGACTTGAAAACAAATAAATGCACTTTGTTTAAGCCTGAAAACTGCACACCAGGAAGTAGTAGCTGAACATTATGATACACGATGTTGGAGCACAATGAAATGGCTACAGAAAATAAAAGTAAATATGCATGAATGTTGTATAAATGTTTTATTGGTCACTTGTGTACAGTAAAATAGTAGAATTTGATATAAATGAGATGTTTTCTGGGCTCAGCCCTTTTTTTTTTCTTTGAGCCCTCCTGGAGCAAATAACCAGTTCACATCTGAACAGAACAGCTTTAAACATTAAACTGGTCACATGGGTAAAACACTGGATTTAAAAAAAACGAAAACACAACGTACACTGTGCAGACACTAAAAAGCAAGACCTGTAAAACTATTTGCAGTGCATGTGTACCATACAGTATATGTAACAATCTTTCAAAACCATTTCACAATCCAAGACTTCAACTTTGGCGAAAACGTCAATCTTCTGTTGCTTAATTCCCAACTCCTTTCAACTCTGTGAAAAGATTTTCACATCTGGGAAATAAAAACTGCTTCGAAGGTTTAATCTCTACCAATCTCCGACAACAGGAGAAATGATTGTGCTTAGTCAAAAACACCAGATCAATTCCTCAAAAACAGGCAACATAGTATCGTTACTTCATTATGAATGTAATAATCATTGCAAGACATAAAAAAGAGGCACCACAATGTCTCTCGAGTCCTTTGTTCGTATTCATCCTAATATGCAGCTGTCTAAACTAATCATAACATTATTAATATACAGTGCATCTGGAAAGTATTCATAACACTTCACTTTTTCCACATTTTTTTATGTTACAGCCTCAGTCCAAAATGGATTAAATTAATTTATTTCCTCAGAATTATACACAATACCCCATAATGACAATGTGAAAAAAGATTTTTTTTTAATTGTTGCAAATTTATTAATCTGAAAAATCACACGTACATAAGTTTTCACAGCCTTTGCTCAATACTATGTTGATGCACCTTTGGCAGCAATTACAGCCTCTTTTTTAATATGATGTCACAAGCTTGGCACACTTGTTTTTGGGAATTTTTGCCAATTCCTCTTTGCAGTACCTCTCAAGCTCTATCAGGTTGAATGGGAAGTGACGGTGTACAGCCATTTTCAGATCTCTTCAGAAATGGTTAATAGGATTTAGATCTGGGCTCTGGCTGGGCCACTCAAGGACATTCACCGAGTTGTTGTGAAGCCGGTTCGGAAGATGAACCGTTGCTCCAGTCTGAGGTTAAGAGCACTTTCATTCAAGATGTCTTTGTATATTGCTGCAGTCATCTTTTCCTCTATCCTGACTAGTCTTCCAGTTCCTGCTGCTGAAACATCTCAAGAATGATCAGTGGAAACAGAATGTACCTGAGCTCAATTTAGAGCTTCACGGCAAATGCTGTGAATACTTATGTTATTAGGGTTGGGCGATGTCTAATATGAAACATCACGATGGACGATGACATCGTCGTCATAGGGGGCGGTGAATTAAGTATGAATAATTAATGAATTCATAACGAATTAATTATTTGTAGCCTACCGTTTTAACTACCTGAACCGCATGGTCTTTGTTTTACCCACAACCAAATTATAAATTAATAAAGTAGTTACACACATAACTATATAATATTATATACATAACCATCTAATGACCCGCTGACTGCCTGGACCCACTGTCTCGAGCGCATGACAGTGTGTGTGTGTCTGTGCCTGTGTGTAAGTGTGTTCACGTGATGTGCGTTTTCAGTGGTAGTGTGGAAGAGGGAGGGCTGCTCAGAAATGCTAGATGAAACGCCAGAGTGGATGTGAATCGCTTTCAGTCTAAAATGCCATTTCAAAACTAAGACCTGTTAGTGTAAATGGGGCCTAAGTGTGTATTTTTCGCGAGCGGATTTGCAAGGGGGCAGGGCGAAGGATCGCGATGCTGGCTCAGCATCGTGGTGTCTGTCGGCCATCAGCGATGGACGATAGCATCATCTATCAGCCCAACCCTAATGTGTATGTGATTTTTAAGGTTTTTTATTTTTAGCAAATTTACAACAATTTCAAGAAATCTTTTTTCTACATTGTCATTATGCGGTGTTGTGTGTAGAATTTCATGGAAATAAATAAATTTAATCCATTTTAGAATGAGACTATAACATAAATAAGTGTGTAAAAAGTGAAGCGCTTTGAATACTTTCCTGGATGCACTGTAACCATCATTATGTGACTCAAATTCCAGTGCTACAAAACATATTTTGAAGGAACAACAACACATAATAGGTGTATTTAAACAGACAGCAAAATGACTCTGAATAGTTACAGTAAATAATTCTAGTCCCTACCATAAAAAAGAAAAGCTTTTCAATACTGTATGAAAGTTTTCTCAAACACAACTTTTCCGACAAACCAACAGTTACAGTATTCTTCCATTTGACACCCCACGATCACAAAATAACCATGTGTTCTGAATCACATCTTATACACACACATATATATATATATATATATATATATATATATATATATATATATATATATATATATATATATATATATATATATATAAACAGTACTATGACAGAATGATACTGATACTGAACTATAAGATACTGAACTATATAACAAAAGTAGGAAGGTGCAATGACTCCTGATAAAATTATATAATTATAAACCTATTTAGTAAACCTATATGCATAAATCTAGCATTCTGGTACTTGATTTAGAGTGGATTTACATCAAATATTAGGCTTTGAGTGGCCTGGAATGATTCATTATATAATGGCAATATTGATAGACACTATCAATATAGCCGATTCATTTATCATTATTTGGCAGTACAACAAACATCTATATTTCAGCAACGTTCAGGGATCAATTAAAAAAAATTCCACACAAAAATGGATGCAATCTATTAGTAGAAGTTTAGGGAAACTGTGTTAATTCATGAACACACTGTGTTGCAGACATAAGCTCTGTAAGTTTGGTCAGTCACATTATCTATGCCACTTCATTTCTACATTGATTAATATTCATATACAAACACTGTGGGCCCTGTTTATGCCTTTCATATGACATTACATGATACAAGATCAAATGACAAAAACACAAACACTTTCAAGATCAGTAGTTTCTAACAGAATATTGTTGATCGTTGTGTAAATGTGTACAAATCAAGTCACTTTGTAAAAACTGCAAACCTCGACTGTAAGTTCAGTGGAATGTTCGATTCATTCGCTTCATATACGTCACTTCATATTAAATTACATCTCATGGTAAACAGCGTATAAATAAAAATACCACAGAATATATCCAGCAGCAATGGCTCAAATATTGATCAAAGGCCATGATGTTAAGGGAAAAGTTTACCTAAAATGTTTTTGTTGTTAATTGACTCACCCTCAGGTCATCCAGGATGAAGCTTTTCCTTCAGTAAAACATTAAAGAAGACTTTCAGCAGAATTTCTTGTTCTTGATCACACTTTCAAGTCAATGGCTACCTGCACTTCGAGAGTCCAAAAAAACATACAGGTGAAACAAAATTAATTCAACTAACACTAACAGCATCCGAAATGTCTGAAGTAAGCAAATTAACAGCAGTTTTCATTTTTGGGTGAACTATCCCTTAAATCGTGGACAAAAACAAATGTTACGTTGAACAGGCAGACTCTAAACAAATACAGGATTGTGTTCCAGATGCAGCTTATTTCAGGATAAAAACTGTTTCTCCAGTTCGAATACAGACCCCCGACTTGGTGTGCTCTGTATCCGGCAGAGGGGAACGGTGCAGTCTCGTTTTTGACCCTCTGTGTCCATGTCCAGTAATGAGCAGCCGGTTTTGACCTCAGCAGGGAGCAGCATGTCCAGGTTTTGGACACTCTTCTCCCCAGAGTAGTGTCCCAGAGAATAGCTCTTATTGCGACTCTTCAGAAGACTCCAGGAATGAGATTTGCCTCTGAGGGAAAGCGGTCTGGGTCGAGATACTGATTCCCCAGAGGTCTGCTTGTCTTGAGGAGGCTCTTTGTCAGCCTTCTTCTTTGTAGAAGTGGTAGAAGAATCAGCTGGACTGACTGGAGAGTTGCTGCTTCCATTGACTAAAGCAAAATGAGAAGTCAGTAAACAACAATTGAGAACTTAAAAATCAGTTTAATGCAGTAATGAAAGGGTACAGTGATATGTCATCTATCTACCTACCCATCTACCTACCGCCCTACAGATAGATAAATAGATAGAGAGATAGCTAGATATTTTAAACCTTCATATAAAACACTGATAAAATCTAAAAAATAAAAATGCCACAAGTAAATGTAAATCTCACAACATTGCACCATACAGTTTAAATAATCTAGATTTTAGATACAATTTTCAAAGTGTTGTACCTTTTTTGGCATTTTATTGGACAAAAAAATGACAAGTTTTGAAATATATATTGATGTTGGTACGAAAAAGAAACATCTGGATTGAAATATTGGCTATAATTCTGCATTTATGCTTACATTATTTTCCATTTATTAAAAAAATATATATAATCACTGGGAAAAATCCATAGTCTGAAAAGCTAAGTAAATTTAGATAGCAAATGTACACTATGTTCAGAATGAAAAGGGAGAGTGTTTTAAAATGATTTAATAATATTAAAATTAATGATTTAAACATTAAACATGTCAACTAGGCATGGGTCGATAACCATTGCAAGGTATATAACAGTTTGGAAAAGTTAAGGTTTTAAAACCACCAAAATTTTCTGCTATACCATTTAAAGGTGTTTGCAGATTTATTTTTCCTTTTTTTTATATAGTTTTTATATAGGACAACTATCTCCAGCAAAAAAGATATCCAAAGATGCCATTTAACATTGTAAAGAAATCTGTTTTTGAAAGTTACAAAGAAAGCAATAGTCAAAGATTGATTTGAATTATTAAGCCTGACATGTTTACTGCTCCAAAATATTTTTAATGTTTCTTTTTAATTTTTAATGGTTAGAATCTTATATCGGCCCATGCTAATGCCAACAAAGGCAATTACTATGTGAATCTATACATGTTTATCAATATTAGTATCAATATAAGTGGATTTTCAGGATTTAATTGCAAATATTATTTTACACTTGCTATCTATATTTAGATTACCTTATAAAAACCATACAAATAATACTACTTTGAAAACTAAAATGTCATTTTCAAACTGTCTAATGCTATGACGCAATTCATTTAAAGATCACAATTTTTTTTTAAACAAGTCACCAGAAATCATCCTAAATATTATGACCAGAGTTGGGGAAAGTTACTTTAGAAAGTAATGAATTAAAATATTGAGTTACTCCCCAATAAACTAGTTTTTTTTTCTTAGTTACTTTTATAGCTAGTAATGCGTAAGTAAAGGTAAGTTTTGCATTATTTTTTCTGACCTGGCTGAGGCTTGATCCTTTCAGAACTTGCAGTTTTTTCTTCCTTTTTTTTTTTTAAATAAAGGAGCTCTGAAACTAACAACCTTCATTTGTTTAACCTTCATTTACCTTAAAAAAAATAAAATAAAAATGAACAGGGTAATGTTATCTTCGGGAAACTTCCTCACCCATAGCTCTACATGCTTTATTTACAGACTAATGAGTTTTAAGCAACGCATTTGCTACTTTTGTACTTTTTGTCCTAAAAAGTAAAGTCACTGTTCATTCAGATAATCCACTTTTCCTTTTCTTCCATGTGGTCAAAATAATAAGAATATTTTTATTGCAGAAATGTAAATCTCTGCCATGTTCCTTTCTGTCTGTTTCGCATTGCGTACGTGATTATGTTTGTTTTAATACAGCAAGTTATTTTTAAAAGCGAATTAACTTAAAAGTAACTCGCATTCCATTTTTTTAAGTATCTCTAATATTATTACTTCATTTTGAAGAGTAACGCGTTACTTTACTTGTTACTTAGAAAATTAATATTACAGTGTTTCTCAGTCACTTTGGTGCATTTCCCACAGCACTATTTACATTTGTAGAACAGTTAATGCATTTTTCAAAACAATTAGTCATTTGTGCAAATCATAGTAGCAGTTTCTCATTCCTTCCAACAAATCGCAAATGCGTTTGGACAAGCATCAATTGCTTTCATACAACTCTCAGCTGTTTTATAACTTGATCATTTGCTTAAGTCATGTCAGTCAAAATTAACTACACTTGTGAATGCTGAATAGTCATTCCATATAAAACTAATAGTCCTCATTTCATTACTTGAGTCATTACATACAAAAATGTTGAACTAGTTGTCAAAATCTGTCAAGCAAATCTTATAACAAATTTAAATCTGAAAATGTCTTCTATATTGAACATTTTCGTGAATGATTTACAGACCTATGTATGTTGTAGGTTCAGTTCCAGTATGTACTGCAATATTGTTTACAGGTGTGTACAGCTCTATACAAAGGAGGTTTATGTTTGTTGTAAATAAGGGTGTATTTATTCTTTTGCACAATGCAGTGAATATAATAGAATTGCTAAGAGCAAATCCAGTAAAAATGTGACGCATACATATTCAGTGTCTTGTACTCAGATACCTTACTAAATGCAGTGATGTCTAACTTTGCTGTTGTTTTGAAATGGCTGTGCTAATAGTATAAAGTGCTGTTTTGAGCATTTTCAGCAATTGTCACCAAAATCTGGCTTTTTTTTGCATTGGAAATGTACAGAGTAAACTGTCATAATGAAAACATGACAAAGCCATGTGACTATCTTGTTCATAAACAATGGTGTCAGGACTTTTCATCTTGACGACACTGAATACTTGCTTTTGAGGAATGAGCTCTCCATTTTGAGCAAGTGACACGCTTTTGCAGGTTATCAACTAGGTATTGCAGTTTGTACTAATTATTTTGAGAAATTAATTAACTGTTGTGCAAATGTAAATAGTGCTGTGAGAAATGCACCGAAGCCACTGAGAAAAACTGCATTAGGCAACTTGAGTAACTTGAATACGTTACCCCCAACATTAATTATGAACATCCTTAAGCACAATTCTTCACCATTACTCACCGTTCTGGCACACAGCCGGACTGGACTTTTTCCTCCTCAGTCGAGAGTTGGCTCCAGAAGAGAGCTCTTGTACAGGTGTTAAGTGCAGTCCTTCACCAGTACCATTACTCTGAGGCGAAATGCCAGTCTCGTTAACCAGGTTAAACCCAGGACCCTCAAAATCTGACTGCAGGAGGCACTTGGTGGAGTTGCACTCAGAAATGGATGACATGGCGAGCAGGTTTACGGGTGCTGTGGAAATCTCATCTTTTCGCGAACGTCCGCCTGGAGGGCTGGTGCTGCGGCGGAAGCGAGTGGCGCGCTGAAACAGGCCTTCTTTTTTCTTCTTCTCCTCACGAGGCTCAGGTTCTTCATTGGCAGGGTTCTTACAGATCTCTTGCAGGTCAAAGCCGAATGCGACAGATGCCAGGATTGAGGCACAGCCGTAGAGAACAGAGTCAGTGCGGCGGCGGGTGGTGCTGCGCTTCAGGCTGTTGGTGGGTGTGTGCTGTGGGGTGGTGCTGGTGGAGCTGGTGGAGGTGGTTGGGTCCTCCTGGCTCTCAGCTCCTCCTCCTGTTGAACTCTGGTTCTCGCCTGGTTCATCTTTCCACAGAGGTAGATCGATATACACCTGGTTGGGGAACTTGAGTTGCTTTGGTTTGTTGTCGGATGAATCAGCAGAGCCTGCTTCATCTTTATTGGTCCCTGAGGGGGGGAAATGCCAGTGCGTCAGTTGATCAGCAGATCAGTTTAAATCTGCTTTCCCATTTTGGAACCATCATCACAGACTTTAATTACATACTTCTATACACACAATGGTGTCAAAGACATACTACAATAATATTTCTTAGCATATTTTTCCTAAAAAGGAAATCAGTGGTTACAGGTTCTCAAGAAATTATCTTAATTTGTGCTCAACATGAAAAACTTAAACCTTAAAGTTAAGTAAATGTTTTCTATTATTCCTTTTAACTATTTATTTAAATTAATTTCAAGTGTTTGTGGAAAAAGTGTATAAATTTATGTGTGTTCAAAAAGATGTGTGTTCAAAGCAATGTGTTCAAAAATCTCTGCACACTTTAGATATTTCGCAATAGAACTAATTAACAGGTTTGTGAATACTATGAATAAATTGGAAACAGAATAAAAACCTACAACATTACAACATTTGTCACACAGGTTCTAATAGTAAAAACTCAAGAAACACTCATTTTCTCCACAGGAAAAGAGATTTTTACCAAGTAGTAAATCGTCAATCTTTTATAGCAATATTATTTTAATGTAGGCAACGTTTACAAATGAGATTACAACAAAAAAAGGCCAAGGCTAGTATTATAATTACTATGTATGTGGGACTTTTATTTTGAAAATGAGACCAACATTATAGGGCTCTCAGGTAATGAAAACAGGGATGGCGTACCATGGAATAAAGAAAAGTTGGCTTATAAATGTATTATTTATATTGGATATATATATTGATATATCCAATATAATTATATAATTATAATTATATATTTTATTATTTTAAGGTGTATATTGTACTGAATTTAAGTGTTTATTGCATCCTTATGCACCGTCATATCATTCAGCTCTGAGTGAAAAGGACAACAATTTTTTGTGTTTTTAACATTTATTAATTAATAAATATTCTTGCCTCGGTATTCACATACATCAATACCACAAAAAACAACATTAAATACATCTCTTTACCCCTTTTCTCGAGTATTACACAACTTTGGAGCACAGTTTCACTTCATTCATTCACTCCTTCTAGCTAAAATAAAACTCTCTACCAAATCAGTTGTAAAGATTATCATTTAACAAATATTTTTTTGACAACTAAAGTGATTATTTTGCACATGTATTTCAGAGCACATTATGCCGTGTGTCTCTCTGTGTGTGTGTGTGTGTGTGTATGAGCTGCTGAGCATCAGAGGAGAAATCATTAATATGACCATTACAAATTTCCAAATAAGGTAAACACACCTAATATGTAAATATCAGCAAACAATTATAGGATATTGAATCAATGACTTCTATGGCACCTTTAATTTCAAGAAGTTGGTATCTGGGAACTTGGCTTTTGTGATACAGTTAAATGACAAGACAGATCTATGAAAACGGAATACATGTAAATAGTAAATAGAAGAAGGGCTTCTTTTTTACATACCCTGGTCTGCAAACAATGCAGCTAATGGAACAGATTTCTGAGACTTCAATAGACTGGTGGACCAAGGACTGCTTCCATCTGAAAGAGGACGAATTCTAAAGACAAAATGACAAGTGACAAACACAATTAATAACTCATAAGAGCACAGTAAAACTACATGTATTTGCCAAAGAATTGAAATATAGCATATACAATACTATTAAACAAGCCATTGTCTAAAAGAAAAAATAAACACTATCCCCCAACCTTTCAGCACCATTTCCTCTTTCCTTCGTTTGCACAGAGCTTGGTCCCCATGTGCGACCCTTCTTCTTAAACCCTTTCTTGACATCTTCAAACTCCTCCGGTTTGTAATTGGTGCTTCGTCCCCATGTCCTGTTGCTCTCATCCAGAGTCACTAGAGATAAAAATTGACAAAACTTGAAATAAAATTGCTTGTACTAATGGAACATCCACCAAATGACAATCCCAAGATCTCAAACACACCGCAAACTGAGATTTAATCTATTAGTCCTCCACAGCAGCAGTTTTTTTTAGGGGATTAAGAAAACCTCCACCATCCACCAACACACAGATGGAATAACCACTAGAGTTAGATCATTACAATCATTCTGAAAACAGTTAATAAAGCTTCAGAAATAACATTGGGTTTACCTTATTTTATTTAAATCATAAACCATTGTTGCAACTAGGGCTGGGTTATTTTTACTGATGATCAATTTGAATAGGATGTTTTGCACCTTTATAAGAATTGCAATTTTAAATAAATATCATAGCAAACACTGCAATTACAGTAATACAACCACTGGCCACATAATGAGTCACTTTCAAAATACTTCTATCCAACAGAATGTGCGTTTGTGTTTTGAAAACACAAAATGCAGGTAGCAGATTTTTTTTTTAAAATTTAATAAAAATAGATTTGCTTTGATTGACATTTTTTGTGTGGCATCCAGACATGAAAACAATGGTCAAACACTTCCATCAAGGACATGTTTGGATACAAAAAAGGAAGAAAAAAGCAGTGCAATAAAAAATTATTTAAAAAAATTATTAACAAAACATTTGTTGTTAATATTAGGCTGCTTCTAATAGGCTACTAGCTAAGTGTTATGCATTGTATAAGACATTTATGTATGCATATATGTATTTTTCCATTTTGTACGAACCACCCGTGACACCAGCATTAACTACTATGACAATGAGCACCTCAGGAGCTGATTATGTGCTTTTTTTCCAGTCCTAAACGTTACTATTTTGAATACAATTTTTTGCCATTCTGATAGTTTATCTCAAAAGTTAAAAATAAAATAAACATTAATTAAGCATGTACAGAATGTACTTTTAATAATGTTAAAGTGGTTTAATATTTATTCAGAATTTTCAAAACCTGTCCAATTGTGCACTGTTCTGTGCTTCTCAATGTCTGGTATGTATTTCGCATCTCGTTTAGACAGACAAATTGCTTGTTGTTGGAATCATGTCATGTTGTTTGTAGTTAGGATATGGTGTAAAAAAGCTTTTATTTGTATTTTATATAATTTCTGAATACCAGGCTCATTCTGAAAACATACCGTTATATACGTTATATATATATTTCTGAAAAGAAACTGTTATACAGCCAATTCGGTGGATGGGGATGATTGGGAGGCCATGATCATAAGGGCCGATTGAGGGCCAGGACACCGGGGTTACACCCCTACTCTTTATGAGAAGTGCCATAGGATTTTAATGACCTCAGAGAGTCAGAACCTCGGTTTAAAGTCTCATCTGAAAGACGGCTGTTTTTGCGCAAACCCACCAGAGGCAGCTGTCGACTGACTGACTGACTGACTGACTGATCGACTGAACCCCCTCCTTCCCTAAACCCAACCAGTAGTGTTTTTAAAAGCACCAATTGACCTGCCTACCCAATTGCATAAACCTAACCAACAGTTTTAAAAAGCAATCCAAAAAAAGAAAAGCCCTCACCTGATTTTTACTACATTTTCAGGTTTTACCACATTTTTGTTATTTACTCATTTTATTTTTTGGCTTCTGTTTTTATCTTACTGACTTTTCAAATTATCTTCACTGGACTCAAACCCTATCATCGAGGTCAACTTCTCTCTGCGTCATTTTAAAGACAAAATGCAGCTCTACGTATTTCTGGCTACATAATTTGTGATCTGTATTTATGTATATAGTGCTACATTTTCAGAATGAGCCTGTTGCAACGTCGTGTGGTGCATTTCAAACGGAACTTTAAGCAGAGGGTTTCACAAATTTTATATAAAAATGATATTACTTGAATCATACTACACGTACATTTTTAAATTGACTGTAAAAATGTAGAAATATTATAGTATTATAATATTTAATCAGTTATATGCTCTAAGAAAAAAGAGCATTTTATATTTTCCATACCAATCAGCCCTAGATGCAACCAATCAGAATTTTGCAGCACCAACTCAAGGTCCACCGAAATGTCCTTGACCCCCAAAGGCAAAAATCATTTCCATCAAAACTTCATTAAGCATCAAGCAATGTGCTATGACAATCATTTGTATCCCAAAGGCATCAAAAATAAATGTTATGAAGCCAGAGCATTAGTGATCAGGAATCACACCAATAGAAAGTTAGCTGGGGTGACTTTGGCTTATGGGACCGTAGTGTCCTTGCCTTTCTTGCTAAACACGCTAGGAGGTTTACACTCGCTTGTGACATCCACATCCTGGTGATAGACAAACATACTGCCCTTTCGGCTAGTGTCACCTCTGTGGCTCACTGATGGAAAGAAAATATGTGATCAATGTGTGATAGACATAAGATTTAGAAACCATTGGCAATGACCTGGATGATAATTTATTAAACAACAAGGATTTTTTTTTTTTAGTCAGACTTTCCTTGGTATATATATTTTTAATGAAGTGAAACATTTCAAACAGATATGGGCCAATTTTGATAACAGACTATAAAATGATGTTTGCTTTAATTTCAGTGTCTTGTTTAAACTACTTTAACATTGCATTTTTATAATTAAAAGATAAAATATGAAATATTTCATTCAAATACAAACAGCAAACACATACTTACAACTTTATTTATCCATTCATTTTCCTTTGGCTTGGTCCCTTATTTATCAGGTATTTATGAACTGCCATTTACTCCAGGATATGTTTTACGCAACCTATGTCCTTTCAGCCACAACTCAGAACTGGGAAACACCCATACATTCACACACATGCTACGGCCAATTTAGTTCATCCAATGTACTTATAGTGCATATCTTTGGACTGTGGGGCAAACCGGAGCACCCGGAGGCCACCGGCTGAGCCACTGTGCTGCCATTGACAATCAATCCATTTAGAAATATCAATTTAAAATATTATACATGGCTTAAAATTAGCCTTTTTGCTTGGTAGCACCGGTGCTCCTAACATTAAAAATTTAGGCGCATCAGCAAAAATTTAGTCGCGCCCACTAATTATAAGCACCGTTACTACAAGTGTTATACAAACATATTTATTGCATTTGAAATCAACAGTAATCAAACTAACAAGCAAAAAAATATATATGCATGCATGAGGAAAATATGTCTCAACGAAATCCCGTTATCACAAGAAAATACATTTTTATAACATAACTGAGTGACCAAAAGACACACGGACACACGCACTGCTTGACAAGAATGAATCTGTTTAACAGTATAACTGTGCTGTTTCACGGGTGCTGTCTGATATTGCACTGATACTTTTGACATATACAATACCTTATTATAAGCATACGTTGTTAATAACAATACCAGTCTTTTTATGAGTAGCGATATTAGTTTACTCAGTGTAAGCCTGTTTGCGATGGTGTATGTGGTGTTAAATTTGACATATAGCTGCCATTTGCAAGGTGGACAGCATCTGGCGATTATATGAAGGATTAAACAGAAGCTCTCGTGCTACTTGTGGCAAACAGTTACCAGAAAATTCCATCCCACAGACTTTTCATAGCGGACTTGAAGCCAATGGAAGTCTTTTATCCACTCTTTGAAAAGTGTAGATGGTGGATTAACATTCAGCACATGATCACTAGTAAGATGTGTCATTATTTGTAACTTTAGATGCCATGGTTTCTAAAACAAAATCTGTCAGTGTTATCTTCATTCTCATCTTCAGCCCTTTACAGTTTTTCGCGGTAGTAGCTCTCTCTGTCATCCCAAGCCAGAAGCCATTGACTGAGTGATTGACAGCTGATATTTTAGTGCTAGAGCAGTGGTGGGCCAAAAAGAAGAGCGAGAAGGCGGGGAAAGCATTACGGACTTGGCTTTGTTTACTGCAGCAAGTTGACATGACAACTGTTTTAAACCAGTCCAAAGTGCTGCGTTTCGTGTTTCAAGTGCAGAGATGCATTCTGCGTGAATGTCTCCCGAATCTGCGCATGTGGTGAACATTTTGCAGTAAAAACTGGTCGCACACAACAATTTTACAGACTAGCACAAATGCTCCCAAATATGTTTTGAGGTCGCATAGACAAAATTTTGGGCGCATATCCGACCAAAATGGTCGCAATTTCGAGCCCTGTTAAAATATAAAAAATCAAGTTTTAAGAAATTACATTGCATTATCCAAAATTAAACAACTCAACAATGGTTTAAAAAAACAGGCTCTTTTGTGATAGGAGTAACAACTAATATTTATTTGCTTTTTTTTTTTGCAAGTTGTGTTTTTCTGTTTTATAAGCTATCAGAAATTCATCTTACCTTTTGGACCTTTAAATTAATTAGATTCATGTTTACTATATATCCCATAACCTAAATAAAATACGATACTCAACAACAGAAAAATTATACTCAAACATTTCTTAGATTTGAATGAATTTCAATTCTAAAAGGTTAAAATATATTTATTTTTAACTTGCATATCAAGCTATTAAGGGTTAATTAAAATCTCACATATACAGTTATGAAAAAATGGTAAAGAGTGTAGAAGAGTGGGTACTCACATTGAATAGCACGGAGGCGAGGGATCAGAGTCGGGCTGCTGGGAGGGCTTGAGTTTGTGCTATTGAGACTTCGTCTCTTGTCCATCGTAGGAGAGGCCTGAACTGTGATTTTGTGCTGAAAATCTTTTATATATACACCTAAGATTAGTATTTACTAATACCACTGTAAACATTTCTTCCAAATTTTCTTCCAACACTTTACAATAACAAGTTTTTACATCACACTTAATGCTCCAGTGAAAAACAATAAAGTGATGCAAAACAATTGGGTCTTTCATTTTTTGCTTAACCTTGGATTATCATTTTGCCAATTTTAACTGCAACAAATTTCACTTGAAATATAGAAGGTGGGGTTAGCAACCTGTGTGCTGAAAATAAAGAACGGACGATAGAAGGACGATAGGACAGGGTTTATAAATATAAAGTGTGAAAGGCCAGTCTATGAATGCTCAAGACTATTTGCTGACCTAGGGTAAATTATGAGCAGTATGAAATGCTGTTACTTGTGAAATAGAATGTGTCAGGATTAACTCTTTATTTCACCAATTTACTGAAATAAATTCATCTGATATTCACACTATGCAACAATTTGTAAGAAAACGGATTTGTAAGAAAACTGAACCTGAGGGTAAGCTGATGCGGTTTCCATCTTTGAGCTTGAGGCGGCTGCGTTTGAATTTGCCCTTCCGTTTCTTAACATTGGGCTTGTCCTTGTTTTGTTGGAAGATGAGGATGTTGAGCTCACGCTCCAACACGTTAATCTCCCGCTCCGCCAGCTGCTGCTCCCTCCTCTTCAACAGCTCTTCATGAGACTTCTGCTGAAGCGCTGCTCGCGTCAGCTCCTCCTCACGAGAACGAAGCTCCTGTTAGAGTCAAGAAAATGTAGGATCAAAAACTATTGTGGAAAAACTAGAGATGCACCAAAATTAAAAGTCTGGATGCACTTGGCTGAAAACTAAAACTGCTTTCTATTAATTATTTCTTATTTTAAAATAATGACAGAACTGAATAATTTTAAGTGAAATTTGGAATTAAAGTATAAAATTGTGTTTTGAATTGAAATATTTACATCTGAAATAAACAGCTGTGTTAAATTTCAGGACCTAAAATTACAATTCACGGCAATTCAAGTCACTAAAACGCAAGTTGTAAATTCAATCTATTATTTTTTCAGTTTGTGCTATTCGACAAGCTTTTTATTTCCATACTTTTGGTACGGATTTTGTTTCAGTACGCAATGAACATTGCTGGACAGTGCAACACAACACAATTTTTCCAGCTCATTTTTTCAGACCTTTTCTTCTTTAGTATGAAAGACGATATTCGATGCCAACCAAAAATTTTGTGCATCGCTACAAGGAACCAAAAAACTAAAGTAAGTACAAAAAGGTGAGTGAAAGAAAGATTTTTTTAGACTAACTACTCCTTTAAACAAATAAAAACACTCTGATACACTGAATCAGTGCCTAAGAGAAAAAAAACTGGATAGTTCTCATGCTTATGAATATACTCTCTGCCTTCAAACAAAAAAGACATCAGTGGTATGAATGGCAGTTTCACTTCCTTTGGCCCTGGAGAACTGAGCTCAGATTCGTCTCTGCTTTAAAATCTAACTTGAGATCGGCCTTATGTTCTTGGATTTACCCTTGAGCACCACAAACATGTCAACAAGGCAAGACATGTGAAGCATGATTTATACTTTATACCTCCGCTGACTGCATGCACACCCCATGAAATGGACGAGGCTTTTACACTTGACGCATTCACCATTGTGATATTCTATAAAATCATGGTCACACTCCCCCCCCACCTATTAAAAGTTTATGAAAATATTAATGACAACAGAATATGGGTTGCTCTACAAATATATTTTTTATTATAGAATAAACCATTATGACCAATGAAGTCCAAAAAAAAAAAACAGAGCATCAGTATGTTAAGTTTAAAAAAGCGATAGGTTTAAATATTCTTTTTCAGTTATCAAATAATTAATTTGTTCCTTAATTATAGCTTTGTAACTATTAAATTATTTTAAATTCAAAATGAATGGTGAAAAAAAAAATTTCTGTAAACAAATAATCTGTTTTGGCTTTAACAAACTTATCCCTCAGGTTTTTCCAAACTTTTACAAAAACTTTCCTCCTTTCTCACTGCCGTTGCAATTTCTATCCAAGAATTATGGGCCATTTGGTTACCCCATAAAGATGTCTGTGCAGTCGTACCCATTTCAGACAAAATCTCTTCAAAGTGATTCATATTCAACTCAACTCAAATCGAAATCATGTCGCGCACACCCAAAGTGAACTTCTGCAAAGAGCGATGACATCACATTCGTTGAGTGCATTCAAGCGAACTAGAGAATGCACCTAGTATAAACAGGCTTAAGTGTGTTACCCACATATGAGCAAGTGAATAAACATTTTATTGTGAACAAATACTCTTTCAGATTCAGTTCTGCTCTTGTCTACACAAAGAACATAATGAAAATACTGCTCTTTATTTGGAATCAACCAGCAAGTCTATTTGTTCTTTGCATCTCTAAAACAGAATAATCCGCATGTATAAAACTTGCAGACAGAATTGTTAAGCGCTAATCAAAACAGTTTTCTACCCACATGGAGTAAAGCCGTTGGCCTAATCTCTTATGAATAACTTCTGTAAGGAGCTTTTGGGGCACTCGGCCAAGAAACACACTTGGACGTACGATTTGGACAACTAATTAACAAATGAACAAATTATTGACTGGTGAGTAAACGTTCATTTGGTGCATCATGGAAGATACGTTTAGAATGACTTAGAATGACTCTTAAAAAAAAAAGAATTATCTGATTCAAAACCAGGACTTGTACTGTGTCACACAATATCAGGAATTCTACATGAAGTTTCAGCTGACTTGCAGGAAAACAAGGCAAACTTGATCAACCAATGGCAAATCCTTTTGAACATAACAAGCTGCTAAGACCGGAAGCAGCTTATCATATTAACCTAACTGAACTAAACACTTAAGGCCCTTTCATTGCTAATAGATGGCTTTGTTAAGAGGATTGCAATAAACAATGCTACCCTGTTCAAATCTGAGCCATATCTGATAAGAAAGCAAAACAAAACCAATTGAAACTATAGCCCGTATAACCAGTTCAGAATACAGACAGAAAGCAGACAGACAGTTTTCATCATCTGACCTTTTCTTTAGTGCGCAGCTCATCAAACATTTCCTGGATCTCTACTCTCCAGTCCTCCTGCATTGAATGGAAGGAATCCTGAGGCATGGTGGCCATCACAGCCTCCTCTATGGCAGTCAGCTGCTCCAAGATGGCTGCAAAGGATGGACGGATATGTGGATCCTGCTCCCAACATTCTACAAATGACAAAGAAATTGGACTTCTTGTAGGTTATCATTGCAGATTCATTCATTCATTTTCCTTTTGGCTTAGTCCCTTAATTAATCCGGGGTCGCCACAGCGGAGTGAACCGCCAACTTATCCAGCATATGTTTTAAGCATCGGATGCCCTTCCAGCTGTAACCCATCTCTAGGAAACCAATCCATACACACTCATACACTACGGAAAATTTAGCCTATCCAATTCACCTGTACCACATGTCTTTGGACTGTGGGGAAACCGGAGCACCCGGAGGAAACCCACACGAATGCAGGGAGAACATGCAAACTCCACACAGAAACGTCGAGGTTCGAACCAGCAGAAAAATGTTTCATTTTATGCCAATGAATAGCTAATTTCAGCATAACCAATAGTCAGTGGAGCTTACAAGTGACCCATTTTGAATGAAACAAGATAATTCACAAATCAATTTCACTGCTGTGTTTATACTACTAATATAAATTAAGCAATTTCAATAGAGTTCTCACTCTGCTCAGGGACTTAATAGGAATTATATACACACATACCCTGTATATGAATATAATAATGCATAGAAAAGAAACTGATGGCAGTCAGAGTTTGATTCAGATGCAGTACATATAAAACTGCTTGTTCAGTATAAAATGTATCATTAGAACAAGGAAATCAATTATTTCTTTCATATCAGTATATATAGATGTGTCCAATTGTTAAGTAAGTCTTAGGCCCAATCCTAATTTTATTTTTGTACCCGATAGAAATAGTTATTTTTTTCTTTTTTAAGTATGGTGGTAAAAAACAAACGCGATAATGAATATTTTAAAACTTATTCTTGTTTGTTGTAATAATTCGTAAAACCACAAAAAAATACTAATATGTTCATCTTCTCTCTTCTGGGTGCAACTATGCTGTCGTTGTGGCTGGTGTATTCTGGGAAATTTTCTTACCCCTTTGTTTCGAATGTGGTCCTGAAAAATCTCAGTTCGAAGGGGTATCTACTCCTACCCCTTAGCCCTACGCCTTTACACTTAAGAGAATTGGGACACCAAGAAGGCTAAGGGGTAGAATTGGGATAGGGCCTAAGTCTACCATGTACAAAGTGACAATAAGAATAATTCATGCATAAGGTTAGTTATTTGCATTAGAGTTAAACAAGAAAAACACAAGTGAACTACCTTCCATGAGCTTGGCAAAAGGCTCTGGGCATGTAGATGGAATTGGAAGGGTTAATTTGTTGACGGCCACGCCATAAGCAACTGCCAAACCGTCGATGCCACGGTAAGGAATCTCTCCAGTCAGTAATTCCCAAAGGAGGACTCCATAACTGGAGAGAAAACAAAACGCATGAGACGTGTCAACATGGTCAAAAAAGTGTCAATGGACAGATAAACAGTACTTATACTGTTACAATACAATTTCAGCCAGGTTAATGATGGAATATGTTTTTTTTTCTTTCTTTTTTTCTGGTAAAAGGCAATACACTGTAATGGGGAGCTGGAACAGCATTAGACACCACAAACTGACAAAGTTTTTGTGAACCTAAAAACAAACACTAAATACTCCATAAGGTCAGCTTTAAAACCTAGTGAGCTCACTTGGTGTTTACCTATGAAAAGGTGACATTGGATGTCAATTTAACAACATGATTCCTAGCATCTTTAAGTCTATAGCTTACTTTGGTCAAATTTCTCAATTTCTCAATAGTGTAAAAAAACATTATTTTTTACCCTGTCAAAAAACCCTCAGTGCACATCAAGCTGTTTCCCTGTTATCTCTTTAAATGCTAATAAACTGCTGCTCACATCGACCCTCACTGAGGCTGCTAGATCAGGAATGGCTTGGTACCGATCGATTCTTGAAAAGATAAACCAAAATTAGACACAACCTTATTCAGAACAAAGTTTTACACAGACTTTACTGTTCTAAAGCAAAGCTTAGTAAATTATATCCCTCGGTTTCCCCCATATGCGACAAGTGTAAAGCTACTGAGGGTACCTTAGCACATCTATTTTGGTCCTGTGTTCCAATTCAGATTTTTTTGGCTAGAAATATTTCAGTTCTTAGCTAAGGTTTACAACTGTGTTTTACTTCCTCACCCAATCATGTCATTTTTGGCTGATCAGAGTTTCTGGAGACTCTTAACCAAAATGTACAATTACCTGTTCAGTATGGCATGATTATAGTTGAAAAAGTTATCCATTGTTTCTAGAAGAAAAATAATAGGCTTTTTTTTACTGGCTTCTTAGACTCACCTCCACTTTACATTTTATAAAGAATTAGATATACCACTTCTGGGAAATTTAATAAAATGTGGGATATAAAACACCATAAAGACTAATAGTGTTGTTTAATTTCTGAAGGTTTGTGAGTTTTTTCTCTCTCTTTACATCTATTGGCGTTTCTTTTTGTGGGTCATATATGTCCTGCATGTTGCCATTTTCCCTTGTTTTATGCTTTATTTTACATTTTGCACAGACTATTGTTTCATGATGGATCTGTTTTTCCTTGTTTTTCTATGTCTGAAAAAACTACACACACACACACACACACACACACACACACACACACACACACACACACACACACACACACACACACACACACACACATATATATATATATATATATATATATATATATATATATATATATATATATATATATATATAAAGCTAAAGCAGCACAGCAAACACAGTACCAGCCAAGCCTTTAGCTTCTGCTAATTTTTGCTTGCATGACAGACAGAGTAATTGAAGCTTATAATGACAGAAAGTAAAATCAAGATGGGTCCTCACCCATGCGTATAATCACTGGGTATGATTTATTATTGCTTGGTATTGCAGTCAGCCATTATCAATGTGAAATATATTCAAACAAACATCTGCATACGAACAAATTTAACAAATGCTCAGCTGCACAATCTGTGCTGGTTAGTTTGTAAACCAACAGCACCCCACTGATACAAATGGCTCTGCACTTTAATGATGAACTCTGATTCTAAACAAAAATGAGCAGTACCTGGAATTTGATAACAAAAACCAGACGATACAAATAAGAATTGTACTATAAAATATATCAGACAAATTGTAGGTACAGCTATCCCCTTTAAATGCAATTTTGATACGAGTCCAGCTTCAGTTAGCACAAGGTCATTAAGCAATCCGACGAAAATAATTTTGCACATAAAAGTAAGTGTTCCCCACTGCTTCTAGGAAGAGTTTTGCCCACTCCGTCCCTTTATATATAAAACTAATCAATTTCACAGTTGCCCCTTCTGAAGCTGACATTCAGTGTAAGAATGCCTATATGAGACTCTAAAATTGCATCCGAACACAAAGCAGACCGTGCAGGAATACTTTATTGCTTAAAATCTGAGAAATTAAAAACACCATTGATAGCCCCTTTACTAACAGTTCACACAAAGAGGTGCAGATGTAAAGAACTAGCTAGTTACATCTAAACTGCCACAAAATTCAAATGGTTCAGCAATAGCATATATATATGAGGTGTACTGAGTATTGTCCAGCATCCAGGGAGCAAGGGGTTAGGTGTTTTACTGTATATCGAAGATGGAGAGTGCAGTTCATTCACGTTGGGACCGGCAATCGAACCTGAAACACTTTAATTACATTTTGAAGTATTTTAAGTCCAACTTCTTAACCGTTGTGGCCCTCTAATGCTCATAAACCACAATTACTGGTTTATGAGGGCAGTGCCTTATCCATCACGCCACAGTTGACAGTTTACAAAAAAAAAACTGTATGTCTTTACAACTTGTCTAAGCAGGCAGATACAGCATAAACCTAACTGAACAAAAAACAAATCTACAAAAGTAAAATTTCCATCCAAAGTCACCTTTAAGGCACCATCTTAACTGAAACTGCCTCTTTTAAGTCACTGATTTGAAACTCATCCAGTACAGTTGAGTTAGCAAGCTAAAGTATTGGGTAAAACATTCAGTCTGTAATTATACTGACCTATGTTGTGTCTCTGACCCATATGTGTCTTAAATCTGGCTGAAATTATGTGTCATTGATGGATAATTATTCTGTCTGAATTTTGGACAAGTTTGTAGTGCTCATAATATGCCTAAAAATTGACAGTCTAACTTCAAGTATCTAATTTTCTTTAATAACAGACTTTTTGTCAAACATTGTAATTAACTTAAAATAACAGCTTACCTCCAGACATCACTCCCTTTGGAAAACAGAGAAGACTTGATGACTTCAGGAGCCATCCAGGAGTAAGTGCCAGCTGCACTCATTTTGGTCGTTTTGTGCCACTCACGAGCAAGGCCAAAGTCAGTAATCTTCAGGGTTTTTCGACCAATGTCATCATTTTCAATTTTTTCAAGTAATAAAACTATGGAGGGCAAAAGGACAGAGAGAGTTGTTTTAGTTATATCTAATACATACGTTATAAACTCGTAGAAATTCTTCAGTATTTATTAAAGTTAAAATGCAACGAATAAAACCGAAAACTGATACAGTTAAGACAAGCCATTTTAAAGTATGATAAAAATGAGTTCTATGCGTGAGCCTTTGAGCATTAATGTCAATGAATAATGCAGAAATGCTAAGGGCATAATCATAGTTGCACTCTTTTATCATAAAGTGTAATCTTCAAGGTTATACATAAGATCTCAGAATGACATACAAGTCGCTCAAGTTTACAATACAGTCTTGTACCAAATGACAAATAACATGAGAATATAGGTCAGCGTTCTTTGAAGCTGGGAACATCCTGGGGTCAGAAGAAGTATTATTTCTCACTGATTCTGTCCTTGACAATTATACAACTTGAGACGTTTATCAACATCAATACGTGATAAATAGGAAGGCCCTCAGTTGATAATGGTGTCTGATTAATTTGACCTTGACTGCTATCCCATCACGTCTTGAGGGGGTAACTAAGTAGTTTTATTTTTGGACACATTTCATGAGGCCTGGGAAAGTTAAGACGTGTTTTTCAACAAACTTTGGAGAGGACTGGCCTTGACTACACTCCTACACTCTTGTACCTAATACAATGTAAAATGTTTGGTATAATTGTGACATTTTCACATGTTCAGTACAATAATGGTGATAAAGAAATTAGCATTATATTTATTAACGCAACAAGATGCCAGTCAGATTTCAGCGTTGAAATACCGGTTTTCTAATAAGGACTTTAGTTCCTTAACAACTATGAATAAAAAAACTACACAGTTTGTTTCATTGACTAACAACTGTATGGGTTATTCTGCTTTTGAATGCAGAAAAGAACATCTCAATCTAATTCATCATTTGTATGCACAATAATTTATGTTAGTAAACAGATAAATGATTAAAATGTGCTGTCTAATAATTAAAAACAATCATACAATTAAATGCTGAAATATATTTTATATAAATATAAACCTGAAACACCCAAAACTATTAAGTTGTTCACCAAAAATGTTATTTTACAGATAAATCAAAAAACCCATCGTAAAATCGCAAAGAAAACCACAGCACATTCTTCTTCCGGGTATGATATCATCCCTGCACCACGCCATTGGGGCCAACATTTACATAAGTATTCCATTAAGCTATTGGCTGAGATTTGTACACCAGGGATACTCTGATAAATCGGCCGATACTCACATTTCATGACTTGATCCGTACTCACTAATCTGGCCGATAACATGAACTGATCATCTTTGTTTACTGATTTACAAGCAGAATAAGGTGCTTTTTTCTTTTTATTCATTGAGGCACGTTTAATTATCAATCCATTACTTGCTATGATTCCAAATTGCATAGTTAGTAATTTTTTTTTACCAAATTTTTATCTGTTTTATCTATTCGTTTCTGAAAGTTGCTTCTGATCATGATGTGTCCACACTAAATGGTCATATTAGGGTGTGTTTAAGGGATTATATGCAACATTCTTCATTTATTCTATTAGGAAAGGAGAGATATCCACTTAAGCATCCTACATAAAGGGGAAAATAGGCTTTATGCGATGGTAAAGTTATTTAAAGCTTGAAGCTGTAGAATCGGTATTCTGTGTCTGTCGATCACCATGATGAGGAATAGGTACTGGCATCGGCTCCAAAAATCCTGATTGGAGCATCCTTAGTGTACACATAATAATCTACAGTAAGGGTTCAATATCCATTTCATTATGTATTATGGCAGTCTTACTATAAATAAGTAATATTCATACAAAATCAATGCTTTCTTATTACAAAAATGGTTATCTGGTCTGAAATGAACCTAGAATTAGGGCTAGGTAATAAATCGATTTTATCAATTAAACCAAGTGTGAAGTTTCCATCAATTTGTTTAAATAAAAATAATTTTCATCCTAACACATGATGCTCTCCTCTGGGTTCCCGTAGTCCCCCCCATATTTTCCAAAAAAATACACAAACAACATGGCAGCCTCAGCGAGCGCTGAGCAGGGAAGATCTTAAAATAAATGTTACACTCCGTGAAGTAAAAAAAAACATGGATGCACAAACACACATAACAACAACAAAAAAAAAAACATCATAATTCGAGGCTCTCAAACATGCATTTACCATCGGACACACGCATTTGAACCTGTGCGTCACACCTTGCATTTCTCACAGTAAGAACAAAAGGATAAGACAATTAATAGAGAAGACATGCGTATGAAGGAACTGTCAGCGATCTAATGTTGGAATCAATGCTGCTGTAAAAACTTCCCCTTTTTAACAATCATATGAATTTACTTTCACTGTAATTGTATAATTTTAATAATAAAAGTCTTGAATGCAATTATAAATGGATCTTGTTAAATTTAATCTTTAAATGACAGCTTTTGACATTTATATATTCTATAATTATTATAAAGGGTTATGGGGGGTGGGGTGGTGCTGGGGTAATTGTAAAATTGTCATTTAAACTGTAATTTTTCTTTGTGGATAAAAATCTGAAATAAAAAAAAGCTCCATAATCGCCCAGCCCAGGCCTACCTGGAATACAAAAACTTTTAAGCTAGTACTTCAATACAACTTTGATTCATCCACTCTTTTCTTAAAGGTTTCTTCTTCCCTTTAGATTTCAATGGCGTCCGTTTTATGGGGCAGAAAATCATCTTTAGATCATGAGACAATAACCGCTGCCTGTTGTATGTTTGCCACGGTCCCTCTATCCTTCCAACAAGGCCATTGTTCTCTCCACTGCCAGTCAGAATGTGTGTTTGTGTGTGTGTGTGTGTGTGTGTGTGTGTGTGTGTGTGTGTGTGTGTGTGTGTGTGTGTGTGTGTGTGTGTGTGTGTGTGTGAGAGAGCATTTTGGAGAGCACACATGCTTGAGATTCCTTAACGTTTCACTTCATGTGCCTGAAATTGCAAAAGCAAGTTTTTTTTGGAGTGTGGCAAAGTGCCGAGTTTCACAGGGACTGCTGGCTACAGTTCCGCAATATTCTTTACCCCCAATCAGGGGAAGCTCCCTGTCTTGGAGAGAAAACAGCGGCCATTGAGGAGATTAAAAATAATGAAAATAAGCCTTTCAGGCCTAGGAGTCGGTGCATTCTCGAGTTGGCAGTCACCTAGCAACCAGTGCTTGACCATTCCATTGTGCAAACTTATGTTAAGCTTTTGCCCCCTCGTTAGCGACATTCCTTTGAGTGAGGTATTAAAAGATTAGGCCACAAAAACATCATTTCATTCACTATTTGCTATATCTTAAAGGTAATCATTGATCAGATAAGCAAGAGTGGGCACAAAGCAAATCTGGTTTCATTTCTTATTTTTGAGAGACTAGTATTTGACTTTGCTGTTCGGGCCTCTCTAAAAATGTACCCTCCACCTTTAACCTGCTAAACAATGTAGTGCAACCTGAATGGGCAAGGAGTCCTCCTTAGGAACGGAGCAGTAAGGGTCCTGGTTCGTGATGGGTGGGTGTCCTGAGTGCAGCACTAAGCAAACAAACGTTACTTTTTCAATTAAGGTCAGCAAGCTTCTAGTGTTGTTTGTCACAATACTGTGGAGAGATGAACAAACTGAGTTGCGTTAACAGTAGCACTGCCATGCTGAACGGGGGCAGGGTGCCACTTCGTGTCTATTGTTGATAGTGGAATGCCATCTATTTTATTGTTCTGGAAATACTCAGCTAATTTAACAGATGCTACTTAATTGCTATAATAACAATTCATTCACAAACAGAAATCCACTGCACTACATTCAAATGACAGTAATATTTATAAAGGAACGAACACTTTTATTCAAGATGTCTATCAAGTAAAGAAATATGATGTTTTAAAAAGCTCTTTCAAATAAACAATGACCTTTTCAACTTTCCACTGAGACAAAAATTCAGAAAAGAAATGCGTCACAACTTCCACAAAAATATTCACAATGCAACAGTTTTAGCACTGATAATAAAATAAATATTTTTGAGCACCTTAAATACTGCCAGATAGGCATGGGCCGGTATATGATTCTGAGGGTGTGATAATCTTGGATAAAAATAACATTTGACGGTTATTGTGATTACTGTTTTAAAATATATTTGTTAAAGGGGTGGTCCACTATGATATCATATTTTAAACTTTAGTTAATGTGTAATGTAGTTGTGTGAACATAAACAGCATCTCTGAATGTAAAAAGTTCTAAGTTCAATGCAAAGGGGACCTTGGTTTTTACAGATTTAGCTTAGCAAAGCCTACAATGAACGAATTTTGGGGACTACAAAAAATACTTCCGCCCCCTGTGAGATCACAAAGGTTTGTTTACTGCGCACACAAACTGTGCAGCTAAGGGGCGTGGCCAGAGGCGCTGAAATGTTATAGCAAAGATGAAGCTAAAAATGCATCCAAACACGGCTGTTTCCATAGAGCTTTGTCTGTTTCTGTATTTGGGCTTCCAAAGGACACGACATAAAGACAGAAGTGCCTACAGTTCAATATTAATAATTTTCCAGAGAATAATAAAATACATAGCAAGCATGATTTGACAAAAAAGCTTCCAGAATCTCTCCCAATTCAGTGCTGGATTCGGCTAAAATCTCCTCAAAGCAGAAGCTGTGAACTACAACCTGTAAGTGTTTATATTTGTTCAAATTGATCATGACATGTACAGTGTCTCGCGTTAACAGTATGATGTAGCAACAATGTAAACAACGGGTAATGCTGCTTTACACCGCAAAGATTTAGCAACAAATTCGTATTTAGCAGTCAAACTGCTGTAAACACACACACACTCCACCAGCGAGTTCGTGTCTCTTATTTGTGTGCGCGACTTCGCATTGATTGTCTTCAGGCAGCTTTTCCATGTGTTTCACATCTCAGATAATGAAGTCGCAAAAGATATGTGGATGATTCACATTACTTACACCTGCATATTCCGGATATATGTGAAAGACGTCGTGT